TTCAGATAGCCAGAATATAGTCAATTGTGACACTAACAGACCCAATTCATATAATCAGTCTTTCCCTGTGTTTGAACCCACCTCTATTAATTCAATTGCTTTGGTATACTAAAGCTTGAATACAACGAGAACAACAATACCTAAGACACTATGTAGCAAGCAATAATAAAGCTTAAATAAAGTGATTGTCCATAGTCAAATTTAGTTACAATGCTAGTTGAAATGAGTCTCTAGATAATACACTTTTCTAAGTGGCTCACAACTTTGACTCACTTTGATCAATTCACTTAAATGGAGTTAGACAAAGTGACAATAATACTTTGAGATTCTACTTGACAAAAGAAACAAAGTTGGTAGTTCAAAGAGAAGTCATCATAAACATTGTCAAGTTAAGACTAGAAATGGTTGAAAGTAGGTATGAAAAGTAAGCTAATAAGTATTGGCAGAATATGCAATATGAAAAGGGAGACAAAGTATGGTTGAATACAAATAAGGTCACTTGCTCTATCCAACTTACCTCCAAGTAGATGTAGAAGTGTACAAGGCTTTATGTAATTAAAAGGCTATTGCATAAGAATGTGTATATATTAGATATTTCAAAGTCATTGAAGTGGCATCTCATTTTTTATGTGAACATTCTCAAGAAGTTTGTAGATGATGAAAAGGCCTTCTACAATGAGAAAGTGCACATTCTACCTTAAAAAGAGCTATGGAATCAAACTATGGATCAAATATCGGTGATACTTGTCAAAAAGTGGATTGATGTCAATGAAGTTCAATATTTGTTCCTCTTTAAAGGTTATCCTCTATATAAGTTTTAATAGCTCAATGAGAGAAACTTGAGACATATATAAGAGATAGTAATTGCTTTCAATAAGAAAGTAGGTGATTATTGGAAGGTACAATCCATACAAAAATAGCTAAAGAATTGAGGTTCTTTAGTTTCAAATAGGAAGTTGTATAACAGACCTAAAGATGAAGGCATCTTCATTTCAAGAAAGAAGAGGAGGGTCGCAAAAAAAAGATCATATATGGAACATTAGAAGAAGATGTGAATCATCTAAAGAGGTATAAAGTCCAAAGATCATAATATGGGTGAAATTCAAAAGTGAAGGAACAAAGATTTGGAAAGCCCAATGATACGTGCGTTAAGAAAAGGAGGTGTAAAAGCTTTCTTGATAGATGGAAGGTATAAAAGGATTTCAACCTGAGGTGACTTTGTAGAGGGCAATCTTAAAAAGCTTATATGAAGTAGATACAAGGCTTTGAGTAATCAAGCCTAAATAATTGGACTTTCTTGCTGGGTAACTATAAATCATCTCTTTATAGCATAGAAGGATACTAAGGAGATATTTTAATAACTTTAATATATGAAAGATTAAAATCTGGAGATATTATTCAAGGACTCCCTAAAGTTGAACAATTATTAGAAGCTCGTTTAACAAATCCAGTTTCTATTAATTTAGAAAAAGGTTTTGGAGAGTGGAATAAAGATATGACAAACTTTTTTGGAAGTCTTTGGGGTTACTTTTTAAGTGCACAAATTAGTATGGAACAGAGTCAAGTTAATTTAGTAAATCAAATTCAAAAAGTATATCGAGCACAAAGTATAAATATATCAGATAAACATATAGAAATTATTGTACGTCAAATGACTTTAAAAGTTTTTACTTTAGAAGATGGAATGACTAATGGCTTTTTATCGGGAGAATTAATTGAGTTTACAAGGGCCAAAAGAATGAATCGTGTGTTAGAAGAAGTAATTCCTTATAAACCAGTACTATTAGGCATAACAAAAGCATCTCTTAATACTCAAAGTTTTATATCCGAAGCTAGTTTTCAAGAAACTACTCGAGTTTTAGCAAAAGCAGCATTACGAGGTCAAATTGATTGGCTGAAAGGTTTAAAAGAAAATGTTATTCTTGGAGAAATAATTCCTACAGGCACTAGATGTGAAGAAGTTCTTTGGCAAATAACTTTGGAAAAACAAAAAAATATTTTATTAAAAAAAAATAAAAGTAAATTATTTCATAATAAAGTAAAAGATATTTTTTATATAAAAAACTTTCAATTTCTTTTACTTCAGAAAAAATTCATAAAAATTATTAAAAAACTTTCTTAAAAATTTTAAAAATGTGCTAATTTAATTTTAAATAAAAAAATAAATTTAAACTTTTTAACAACTTAAAAACAAAAATATAATGAAACAAAAATCTTGGAATATTAATTTAGAAGAAGTGATGCAAGTAGGAGTCCATTTTGGTCATCAAGCTAGAAAATGGAATCCTAAAATGGCCTCTTATATTTTTACAGAACGTAAAGGTATTCATATTTTAAATCTTACTCAAACAGCTCGTTTTTTATCAGAAGCTTGTGATTTATTAGCTAATGCATCAAGTAAAGGAAAACAAGTTTTAATTGTAGGTACTAAATATCAAGCTGCTGATTTAGTAGCATCAGCTTCAATAAAAGCTCGATGTCATTACATAAATCAAAAATGGCTTGGTGGTATGCTAACTAATTGGTCAACTATAGAAAAGCGTCTTCAAAGGTTTAAAGATTTGGAAAATAAAGAAAAAACAGGAGTACTTAATCAACTTCCTAAAAAAGAAGCAGCAACTTTAAAAAGACAATTAGTTCAACTTCGAAAATATTTAGGTGGAATTAAATATATGACAAGTTTACCAGATATTGTAATCATAATAGATCAACAAAAAGAAATTACAGCTATTAATGAATGTATAACTTTAGGTATTCCAACAATTTGCTTAGTTGATACAGATTGTGATCCTGATCTTACAGACATACCAATTCCAGCAAATGATGATGCTAGAGCTTCCATTCGTTGGATTTTAAATAAATTAACCTTAGCTATTAGCGAAGGTCGTTATAATTCTATAGAAACAGAGTAATTAAATAAATAATAAAAAATATTTATTTTATCATCCGTTTGACCAAAAGATAAAGTATAGGTGAATCTTTTTCTATTCGAATTAAAAGAAACTTAATACAATTAAAGAAAAAAAGATGACCACTTAACCAGCCAAAAAAGCAGCTTAAAACAAATAAAAAGTTATTACTGTAACGAAAAAAAAAAATTAATTAATTAATCTGACTAATATAGGGCTTGGTAAAAGAACAGGGTTTAATAATTGAAAAATAAAACTATCAAAAAATATTTTATAAATTCGAGAGTCTTTAATTGAATTGATAGGGCGCAAAGATTGATAATCTAAAAGGTCTTTAATTCGATACCAATAAAATAAAAGATACGGTAGAACTAATAAAGTTACTGTATGGGGTTTTAGTAAAAGTGTATAAAGAGGCGAATAATATATTGATAAAAATATTATTAATTGTCCTAAAATTAAATCACTTACAGCCACAGTACCACTAAGATTTCCTTCTAAAAGAAAAGCTCGTATAGATAAAATTTGAGAAGGGCCAATAGGCAGTGTTGTAAGAAATCCATAATATAGTCCAAATAAAATCAACGGACTTGAAATATTTATCCATGATAATATTGAAGCCCATAGTACAGAAAACTGTAAGGGAGTGTTTGTTATCATAATAAAATACTTTCTTCTTTAAAAGCATAGAAGTAGGATAAAATAAAAAAGTTAAATTACTTTTGGTAGATATAAAAAAAATAAAAGATTATGAAATTTAGTAAAATTTTTTTTATTAAATTTCATAATCTTTTATTTTTAATAATTTATTACAAATAAATATTTAATTAAATTTTATTTGTTTTTCTTTTTTTGTTAAATCGTTCCAACCTAAATTCTCTAAATTATTGTTACGTCGTAAAGGACGAGTAACAAGTTCAAGAACATCTCTTGCATTTGTGAAACCGTGAATTTGAGCAAAAGTAAATTCAACAGACCATTTTGTATTAATTCCTCTTGCTTCTAAAGGATTTGCATGAGCCGCTTACAACATCAGACTTCATCTCTATATTACAGCGCGTATGTGAGCGTATTGCGCGGCAACTTTTTCTACTTCTTGTGTTTCTAGTTTTTGTTGTCGACGATGGAATTTTACTCTTTAATGTTGGACTTACCTCGCAAAAATATTGCTATGTATTTGATTGCGAATAAGTTGAACGTCAAATTTTTAAGTGATATTAAACATGTTTACCTAGTTTATTATCTGTCCAATTTGTGTAGGCAAGCAACGCTGCGCTTGTAGTTACCCATTGTCGCTGAAAGATTTCAGGTTTCCCCTCTATTCTAGGAGATCTGATTATGATTGTTTGCGCTGTTCGTAGCTTGGAAGCAATGGTGCTGCAGTATTCTCTGATGAAGAATTGGAGATGCACACAATTGAACAATGGAAAAAGGAGTATTAGACTCTTTTTTCTTCTGCAATCCATGCTCTTGCATTTGTAAGTGCTTAGACATACTTCCTTGTTTGTGGCCTTTTTCACAGCTTGTGGAAATTGTGCCAAATCTTTTTCGGCACTGATAATGGGTTATTCTTTCAAAATCACGCTATTCGTTCTGTGCAATTTTTCTCAGTACAAATCTTGTTATCAGACATTCTGTTTTGTGCCTTTATGTAGTGGTATCCAGTAACCTCATTTGTAAAAGATTACGATAGGATGGTTAGTTGTGTTAATATGAGTAATGGATGTGACCATTCGACGCCTTACATGTTTGGTTGGTCTAATCCATGTTGATCGGTTTTTTTGATGACTTTGTAGGTGGGGACAAATGATACTCTTGCACATGTGGCTCGTGAACTCATGTGACTTGACGTTGCGCAGCTACCCGTCTTGCACTATCCACCTCATGCTCTAGTTCCAGAGTTGTTGCATCTAGCTTGTCTCTTCGGTATTTTAAGATGTGAGTTCTTTTCTTGTTGACTGGAACTGGTTGTGTAAAACTTAGTCATCACAAGGTGTCAATGCTTGTTGTGCAAGGTCTATTCAGAAAAAATTTCGTTGAGAAGGTTAGGTTATCCTCATTTTACCATGGCAAATTTCAATGTAGCAAAGCGATACCAAATGTCGTGTAAATGCAACTTTTCCGTCCTATGAAAGTCTCTTGTTTGAGGGCTCATGACATTGTCATGTCTTGTCTTGTTTGTCGTTTTGCAGGCATCTGCAGACATTTCCGCCATGTTCCTTTATCTGTCCCACTGTTTTCACAACCTATCGGAACCTTTCGTATTGGAAGTTGGGTTTCAGGCATTGCTGAACCTGGAGGCCCACCTCTACAAGTATTACGATGGGATGAATCCCTCAGTCGAGCACTTGCTTTGCTGTCTGAAGGTCTCTTTCCGCTTCTTTTTAAGATTTATGTACCTATTACTTCTCTGTTTATGGGTTGCCTTTAAAGTTTCAGCCATTTAAGTTAGTTGATTGAACATGCACAATGTTCTGATTGTGCAGCTCGGGTCAGTGCACCACCTATCGTGGATGAGAATGTTGTTTTTTAAGACGTCTATGCTCGGGGGTATAACGCACACTCGAATTCGCCAATATAGTTGTTTGTTTAGAGATTGGTTTTTGTATCCCAAGAGCAGGATTTCGCTTTCATTCATAACAAGCAGAATTTAATGGCATTAGTATGTCATACACAGTGGGAGATTCAGCTTGAAATATTTGTATACGTTATAAGTAGCATATCTGTTCCTTTCACAAACCATCACTTATTTGTGATGTTTGCACAACTTCATCTACCAGACAATCTTTTATGCCTTATTTATCTATCTGATTAATATTGTTGCATTGGATTGCTCGAGTCTTCCAGGGACATCACAGCTCTTGCTAGGGATTGCGCGTATTCTCGACCTCAACTGAATGACTTAACTATCAGCCAGGTCTAGTCTGCATGGAGCTAGTATTCTTTTTCTGATGCAGGCTTTGTTTTCAAATGGTTTCTATTGGTGTGTTGTCTCCCGTTGAGTGATCATTCTTTGGTTTTGTTTGATTGCATCTTTCTCAATCTTCTACGGATATGGTATGCATGATTTACATTTATGGCTGCATTTTTTGCATCCTGGCCTTGCCTGTTTTACAAATTGAACAGACATTGCAGATAGGGGCAGGACCTGGGCCACTCCATGGGAATCGTTACCTCAAGTGCCTTCGATCAGACTCATTACGCCATAAGGTTGAGCCTTTTGCTCTTCCAGGTATGTATATTTATCTATAGAATTTTTTACTTTCAGTTATCTTGCTTTGTTGTTAGAAAATTGATATTTTTACTCCTGTTATTTTCTTATGATAAATTGTTTCGAATTGTTCTTGATAAGATATTTAGGGGTGTAATGGTTTCAGCACAACATACATGTTCTTTTATAGATGTGGGTTGGCCTTATTGGGAGATCTTGGTCTGCTTCCTGCGAAAGGGTTTCTTTTCGACTATTTCATGTATTCATTATATGCGCTAATGTTTGCAGGGGTGCGGAGACTAATATGCATTGAGGCTGGAAGTGGGCAAGTGGAAGGAATTATTACGTTGCGAGATGTTTTCCAGTTCCTACTGTAAATTACATGCTGGGTTACACGTTCAGTGAAAAGATTGCTGACATTCGTCTGGAATTTTTTCTTTTAAGGCGCAACTTTATCCTGGAAAGAGGGTTAGTCCTCGATTTTAGCTTCGGGTTGTTGCCTTTTTCATTATTGGTTCAATAAAGCTTGATGCAAATGTAGTGCGCATGGTGTGTGCCCTAGAGTGGTTCCTACTGCTCTGTCATTGTAAAATCATGTTAATATCTTGCACTTCAATGCTATCTTTCAACAGAATCCTTGCATGTAACTCACTTGTGATTTTCACTTTATTTTTGAGGTTGTATTGTATTGTACAGGTGAAATTCATTGCACATCGTTTCGTTCAGTTTGTGCTTTGCTTATTTATTGCTTGATTGTCTAATTGGACTTGAGTGTTCATAATTTAGTTCGCACTAAACCATGTTCTTTAAAAAGAAAAACAAATTGAGTTATTGTATATTATCAATTACAAATACTCTTGTTATCCATTTTTTATTTAGGCATAAAATTGTATGAATGTTTATATAACATTCAATTTGAATCCTTTTGTGATTCAAGTAGTCAAAAACAAATGACAAGAGCAAAAAGAATGAACTTAAAAGACAAAATGATTTTTAAGATCATAATCTATTGTTGTATAGGATAATTTCACTTGATTAAAAGGGGAAATTTATATGTAGAGGCCAACTTCTAAAAGTCATGGTTTCTAAATTTGGGCTTTTGGATTTAGTATATACTGAGGAGAAGCCATAAAGTAAAAAAAATCATTTTTTTCATGAGTCTGAATGTGCCAATACATATATGTATTCAAAGATTACAGGAAGCAAAACGCACTCTATGTTTGGACATGGTAAAAAAAACAGGACCCAATCAAGAAATGGAGTTATTTTCCTTCAACATTTTAATGTATAACATTCATTTACTTGTTACGTAACAGATTTTAAAGAAAACTAAAATAATTGCCATAATTTGTTCGAACCCCTGAATTTTTGTGAAAACAGCCTTTGAAAAGGATTTGATAGAAAAAGCAAAGGGAACACTATTTATGTTATGAAATGAAAAAGTACATTCTATCATATGCTTTTCCGTCACAATACTTTTGTAAATATTAATCCAACCACAAGCTGTGGTCTCCACCTTCTCCCTCTATGCTCAAAGCCCCACTAAGCTTTGACCTAGTGTCATTTCACACACAATGCCTATTACATGTAACTGGACACTGGCATAATGAACAAAAAGAACCCCTCAATAGACAAACACAGAGGAGTGAACATTTGGAATTCATGAAGTTGGTCAAAGCCCACATGGTTACAAATTGGTCCTCGACACCCTCACCAAGACTCAAAATTTCAGATATCAAATTACTAATTATCACAAATGTCTCTGCTCTACGCTGTTTGTGGAATGTCAATAACGACTCCGGCTTGAATTTGACCCCACCCTATCAAACGCCAATGCTTCTCCACTCGCCTGCTCAGAGCCACTTTCTCTCCCTTGCTAGTGCAGACCGGAGTAGTTAGTTGCAACTTGGCAAGATCGTTTTTAACAGCAATCACACGAGCTCCCGTGGACATAGACCCGATGTTCAACATGAGAACCTCACTCTTAGTCAACTTGGACACCTTTCCTTGCTTCTCCGAACCCTTGGTCCGCACACCCAACAACCTTCGAAGAAGGAAAAAGTTGACCTGAAAGGCAAGGAAGGCAATTCTAAGTGACGGGACGATATTGCGACCGTAACGAACCTAACGCAACCATCAAATAGAGCAGTGCTAGGGGTCAGACAATAAGATTGAGATCCACATTAAGCTAAAAACCACTTCTTGAACGTCTGCCATCACAAACACAGACAATTCCGCATTTGGAAATGAGCAATATTAAACGAGCACGTAACAGGTGAAATAAATTACCTCCAACTCCACAAAGACATCAGGAAGCTCCCCAACCTCACCAAGCACTTGCCCAACCAGTCTGTCAGCACGAGTAAGAGTAGGATCAATGGTTGTTCCCACTCCAATTAGACCACCAGGCACCGCAAATTGGAGCTCATTCTTCTCAGCGAACAAGGATGTGATTCGCGAGAAAATTGGTGTGCACTTGATTCCACCACTCTCGTCCTTGGTAGTGATTCCAGGCCGCACTTCGATTCTTTGCCCCACCCGTAACACTCCCTGCACAAAGGTAACAGCATCTCAGTGCCTTTCTCACGAAGGAGAATCGGGCCATTGATGAATTAAATCAAATCTTTCCTAAGAGCTACATTGATACCTTGAAGGCACTGTTAATTCTTGACTTCGGGCATTGTCACCAAGACTAGCCTAGTTGTAGTCCACTAAAGCCCCCATCTACATCCGTACCGAGACTCATGTTGACACATACCATAAAGACATTTTTTATGACGGACTACCTGATCAACTTAACCCTGCAGCCATGTCCGGACATGAACCCAACACATATGTCTGATTGGCCGATTACATTATCACACTTGACAACAACATACCCTCAGAATACTGCCACCAGCCACGCCACCCTTGATTTCGTCAACTTCGGCACCAGGCTTGTTGACATCGAACGACCGAATAACGATCATGTTCGGAGGAGCCACGAAGTTCCTCTCTGGGATAGGAATCTTGTTCACAATGTACTCGCATACCACATCAACATTATACTTGAGCTGAGCTGAAATGGGCACGACAGGAGCCCCATCGGCGATCGTCCCCTTTCGAAGCAAAAACACCAGGTGTCAATGCTAGTTCGAATCCGCTACGCAGATTCGTTCACCACTACAATGTTACCGTCTTGCTTATCAATGTGCTTAAATTACCTTGGCAATTCGAAAACGACGTAACTGGAATTATACAAACTACATAGTAACTAAACAAACATCTACTTGTGCATTACAAGTACAATCTCTCGTACTGAGTGCAGACAGAGCTGACCAGAAACTGATAAAATCCATATTTACCAAAAGCAGAAGCAGGAACTACTCACGTATACGTTTAGAAGAAATGGCAGTAGTATTAAGGACCCACTAATCAGTCCATGACCATGTCACAGAACTACTTTTCATAGGTAATGAGTGTTGAAAAAAAAGCACTGTTTCACTGTTCGCTAGTCAGCATCGCACATACCTGAATAAATTTTTGGATAGACTCGTGCTGGTTAATAGCCACGCTTTCCTGAATCAGATCAATTTTATTTTGGAGAATGATGATGTGCTTCAAGCGCATAATCTCGACGGCAGCAAGATGCTCCGAAGTTTGGGGCTGGGGGCAACTCTCATTGCTGGCAATCAAAAGTAAAGCACCATCCATAATAGCAGCTCCATTAAGCATAGTAGCCATGAGAATATCGTGTCCCTGCAAACAAACACAAACATTTCAATCCGGATTAAAAACAAGAACACGAAAGTACCGCTTCCCATAAGCCCTCAGATTAAGTGATGTGTGTAGTCGAATTCCTTGGAAAATAATCACATAATACACACAGTATCGACAAGCGATGATATCACGATGGCCATTGGTCCAGTGCAGAAGCCTCCAGAGTGATAAATCCTACGTCTAAAATGAAAGATACAAGAATTAAATTAGAGTTCTAATCTACAACCCATAAAAAATTTAAATGGAAACTTTTTCTAACTCCATCACAATTAATACTTGCAGGCGTAAAAAGACGATATTGAAGTGATAATTGAGGCTACGAGATCTGACAAAGAAAAAGAACTTACAGGGCAATCGACGAATGAGACATGCCTCAACAGCTTCATGCGGGCAGATTCGTATCCAGGAACATCACAAAGAGGATTGTCTTCCTTAGCACTCCCATAAGCTCTACAACAAAAAACACAACGTACATCAGCTATCTCCATAACCGAGAGTAAACAACAAAATCAACGCATGAGAAGAAAATACAGATGAGAGATCGAAAGTCGCAAGCATAGAGAACAGGTACAAATCATACTTATAGCTCATGGGTCGAGGACAGCGCTCATCTTCACACTTGTAGATTTTGGCGTTGGCATAACCCAGCTTAATGGTGATATTCCTCTCCAACTCGTTCTTGAATCGGACGGTCTGCTCCGAAGAAGAGCACAACAGAATTTACTCAAAAACGTAAAAGCCGATTCTCACCATTTCTAAAATCAACCAACTTCCAAAAGGAAAAGGAAAAAAATAAAATAAAAATAAGAAGAAAAAAATGAAGGCCGCCCAGAGAAAGAAAAATAATAAACCAACGAGAACCTAAATCATACCTGCACACCAGATATGGCCTTCACTACTGTCGACTTCCCGTGAGCCACATGGCCAATTGTACCTATTCCACCACAACATCAACAACAACACTTAAAATTGCCGACCGCCACACTACACTACATACTACAAGCTTCCCTCGGCGAACAAACACACACACACGCACGGACACACCCAACCTCGAACCCTACATCGGAATCCCCTAATCGCTTACCAATATTGATGGTGGCCTGACGAGAGATAACTTCAGGTGACAGCGGATGTAGCGTCGTCACGTCCAGCTTACTAAGATCCTGCTCCATCAACCCCCGCTTCGCCATGGCTGCGGACTGTGAAGAACCCTTGCGCGAAGCAAGAAACACACAGTGAAGCAAAAAGAGAGCAAGAAGGGGCGAGGAGGAAGGATGATGAAGAGAATAGACCTCCGAGAGAGAGGGGGAGTGAGGAAAGCGGAAGGGCCGGTATCGAAGGGAGGGGGGTGGGGGCAGCAAACCCTAATTGCACGACGACGACGAAAAGGCCTCCGAGGTCGGGAATACCAGGGTTTAAAGCACACCCTTGCCTTGGAAGGGACGCTCCCCGTTCCCCTGTTCCCCTGTTCCCCTCCCCTGAACAGGTTCCCTCCCCCCGTTCCCCTGTTCCCGTTTGCTTTGAGGCCAAGGTTTGTTCAAAGTTTTTTTATTTGTTGAATTTCGCATCTCAATTTGGTGGTATGATTTGGGTGTAGAATTATTGCATCACTAAGCATGATTATGAGCACCTGGTTTTGTTTTCAGCTGAGGAAAAGAAGCAAATGAAAAATCTGTTGCGCTTTTGTAAAGGTGTTCTTTAAAATGTTTTTTTTTAATTTAAAAAAAAATAGTACAGGAATTTGATGTATTTTAATTATGATGTAATTTTATTTTAGAGAATTTTTTATTTTTTCATAAATATAATTTGATGAAAAATATACTAAACTAATAAATAAATTTATAGAGAGAATATATCTATATATAATTCAAAAATTTATATGTTCAATCAACAAAAGAATTGTCGTTTTAAATTATTTACTGAATTTGATGTAGAAAACGTATTTGTTGCATGTTTCATCTATTTTAAGAAAACTGGAGTTAGTTAGATTTTAGATTTAATTAGTTTGATTGAATGTGACTTTGATTTTGATTTTATTTTTATTTTCAAACAGAGAATTTCTTTTAAACGTTCAAAAAAACATCATTTTTTTTTAATATTAATACAATGTACAATACATTTTTTTTTAATTCACATTGCGCACCTAGTAGGAATATAGTGACAGTTCTATCTAGTCACCTCTTCAACTGGAACAGTCTTTCTGCAAAAAGAATGTCTCAAGCTACCAGATGCATACAGTAATGTGAGGTTTAATCATGGTGGCTGTGGATCTGCTCCAAATTCTTGCACCAAGAGTTCATCAAACTCACCTGACTTCTAGACTCCAATTGAACTCACATTATCAAGCAGCGATCTTCTTATAGAAGCAAAATAACTTGAATGTCCTCGTATAATCTGATTCAAGCGGTCAGACGTATCAATACATATATGATGAAATGCTACATGAGCAATGTTCACTGATCACATATCTAATCAGTGTCTCAATCAACAAGCACAATCATATTCTACCATCCGCTACCAAGTATTTTAAAAATCTACTCTCAGAGCTTTTCAGTGTTTGATTCTGGCCAATTGCAGATATCAACTAGTTTTCAATCTCAAATTAAAATAAGCGTAACTGAGAGAATGTAACCACTTCTTCATATAATTTCGTCAAATTAAACTTTGTGAAATCATGCAAATTTTGTTCCTTGTTTTAAATTAGAAACAATCGTCATAGAAAGAAGGTGAAAAATTTAGCACACTGGAAGAGAGGGGGAATTACATATGATTATTTATAACTCTAAGAAGAAATCTCCTCATTCCAACATAAGAAACCTGCAGTTAAAAAGAAAGTTTTAGAACCCCAAAAACGGCCCAGCGTTTTCACAAATTCAAAAACCAAATTATGGCAAATGTCTCATATACAGCAGCAGCGCAGAGCTACAACACATTTCCCATTCTTTAGCGGCAAGCAGGGTTCATTTTCATACCTTTGTCAAACCCTTACCGAATGGGCCAGCTTGATTGTAATCATACTCTGGTCGATTTCAGGTTTCCACAAGTTGTGATAAAGTGGGGAGGTGCAGAGTTAACAAACAATCCTTCATAACGGCCACCAACTTTGCGTGGATTTCATCTCTATGTATTCGGTAATCCTATTTCACATCCAGCACAAGATCCAGCTTCTTACTGTACACTGGTTACAGCTCATTATAACAGCCGTTTTATCACGCAACTCTTTGAAAAATTAGACGTACCCTCAAGGCACTACTAACATTGCAGCAGTAAGAAATGCATGCTCCAGATGATACTACAAAGAAAAGCCCAATAAGAGCGTCTAATAGACTGATAGTCTGACTTGCCAAAGCCCAATGCTTTGCTGTTGTTTGAATTAAAACCAGCAACATATCCTTCCATTAGATACATTAAACAAATGACAAGACTCGAAAGTGCGAATAAGAGATAAAAAGTGGAAGACATTTCGAAAGACACGTCTAACACAATGATCTGTCGTCTGAATCTTGCGCATAGAACAATCTCAGACACCTATTAATTCCTTCTACAGTTCAATCAGATTTAATTTTGTACCAGGATAGCTCATGCACTTAGTACCAATTGACAGGACCGAGAGCTGATTCGAGTTTACAATGCTCGAGTTTCATCCTTACCAAAACCAGCAAAACGCGTTTCATATTCCAACACATAACGCACACAACTTTAACTTACGGACAAGGGAAGAAGTAATTAGATATCCACCAATTGACACTATGATAACTAGATTCTCGTATTTGGATACTATTTACATGCGACCTTTCATATGTCTTCTTGCTTCGACTAGCACTTGAATTCGTCACTAAAGGTTCTACTGGTGGGGTTCGTTAAGGTGTGGACTTGGAAATATCGCCAATAGATAATTCTTCATTGCCTTGCAAGGATGGACTTTACCTGTCACCGGCTTCTCCAGCAGTGTAATGACAAACACCATGAAACCTATTAATTTTCAAATTACTACCTTCGTTTAAGACTTCGTAATTCTATCAATCAGCTGAATTTGAAGGACGATCTCTCTGATTAACACAGAGGAAAATGCCCCCAACACCTTTATAGATTACTAAGTTTTTGGAACAAGTGGAACGCCAAATGTTACTCGAGCATTGTGCTTACCTTGTCTTTAAGTGCGCTCACGACCTCGTCTGCCTCTACAATGACAGTTCAAGGATGTTGATCAACTGCTTGCTCAGTAGTACAGCACGAACGACAATGGCTGTAACAGTATGAAAACCACTACTTGATGTGCAGAACTCAGTAAACCTGTTGGCAAAAGCTTGAAACCCACCGGGAGCATTAACTACGGTCCAGGTTTCATGCTCTTACACAATTGTTAGCTTTAATACCTACAAAACAAGAAGCGCACGTTTAAGTAAAAAAAAAAAAAAAAAAAAAAAAAAAAATCCATGCAAATTACTAACAGTTCAGAAGAAAGCAGGCTCGAAACGTATTCAGAAAATTAGAAAAAATGAGCTAAAATTGGTTCGTAAGACAAAGATCAAAGACATTCGCTCCGCGTTTAAAGGTCAAACTATAGGTACTGCTATTCCAAAGTTCTTTCTAGATACTAGCAGTCTCGAAGAACAGCCTCTTAACTCCATATAATTCTAAGATTAACCGGAGACATCAAGGTCATAATGCGTCCAACGCATTTAGCTTTAGTGAGATATAGAATAATCACTTGAAAATGCACACCAATGCCCCAGGTAATTTAAACTTGATAAGCACCAGGACAAACAAAAGACGCAAAAATGCTTCTTGAATGTAGAAAACCATACATGTGTGTTGTGTTGACTATCAACACATGACTTCGGTTGGTACTGTAACGTGCAACGTATGTTGTAGCCTAATCGACCTCCAACCTGAATGTCAAAGCAAATCCAATTACTGAAAGAGACGGACAAAGAGGAAGGTCTGCTACTAATAACACAAACTCACCAATCAGCACCAAATAACGATTGTAAAATTCAACCTGCAGAGTTGAACCTCCACGTAGTACACAATAGAGAAAAAGCAACCTTTACCTGATTCCTCTCATATATTCCAATCAACACCATAGAAAGTAATACGTTAGCTTACCTTCTCAATTGGAGATATAAAGTTCTGTCTGATGTCCTAGATGAAAACGAACTCTTCCAGGCGCAATTTAGGATGTTTAAGTGTCCGCAACCCCAGAAGTAAGCCCACCTTACAAGAGCACCGGCACACGCTGCGCATATTTCTGTGGTGTGCTCTAGCAACACAACGGTTCCGACAACCAAAAGTTGCATTTGTCAACATAATAGAAGCAGTGGGTCAAACAAAGGAAGAGAAAGAAGCAAGACCTAGTATTCACAGCTTAAGAGAAGCAATTCTGATAACATCTCAAGTGAACCTGACGTGTAGATGTTTTTAGTAGTCTGAGGTTCATTGACTAAAATAAAAGGTGGTTTCAAAGAGAACCTCAGCAATATTTGAAAGTAACATTGGAGAAGAGATGAATCTCCAATAAAATTATACATGTTGAGAGCATTAAATATAGCCGACGCTCTCCATGCTATTTACTATAGTCTATAGTATTTACTGTAGCTACAGTGATATAATCCTATCAATAAACTTACTTCATGTGTGTGTATGTTTACATATGTGTGCATATTACTTTTAGCTACTATTGTCTCTCTTTCTCTAAAGCATTCTCAACATGTTATCAGCACAATTGCTTTTATATTCTACACTTAGTTCTTAGTTCTTAAAAACTTCTGTGCATTTTTTTCTTTCGTTATCTCTTAAAATTTTTTTCCCTTCTAATGTTGTTGCTGTCATGTGTCGCTGCTACTGTGTTTGCTGCTGATGCCTCCGATTGCTGTTGACTATTGCCATCCGACGTATTCTACCACTGACTGACGTATTCTACCACTGACTAACGTACTCTACTGCCGACTACTGCTGACTGACGTACTCTGCTGCTAACTACTGCTGAACTACCACACCTTGCTGTGCCCTGATGCACCTTATTGCAGTCCACAGCACACCTTTATTTTTGTGAAATAATAATAATAATAATAATATATTTTTTTTAACATTTTTTATTTCAAGTTTCAACTTAATCATTCTATTTGGCTTTACATTTCTAAGGTAAATTTTATTCAACCTTTTCTACTTGAACTGGTATTTTTTTTGTTCATAGATTTATTTATAATGAGTACTTTAACATCTTCAACTACTTCTACTATGTTTCCAACTATCATCACTGCATCCCAACATTTTCAAGTTCTTCTATTTCCACCATTGGCTGCTGATGGAAACAACTATTTATTATGGCCAAAAATGGCAAAAGCAAATTTATTTACAAAACAACTATCTGATGCAATTCTATTTGAAGAATCTCCTACTATATGTACTTCAATTCCTATTACTATCCATTGGAAAGCACTTCTTCTCCCTCATTGACATCTTGTACCTCCATTACAACATCAATATTTAGAAATAGAAGATCCAGCCAAGCTCTATGAAAATCTTAAATCTACATTTGATCATCAAAAGACCATTTTCCTTCCACATGAACGTCATGATTGGACACATTTACATCTCTTGGATTTTCTAAATTTAAATGCTTTCAAAAGTAAAATATATCGTATTATCTCACAACTATAATTATGTAGACAAAGCATCTCTAAAAAAGAAATGATTGAAAAAACTCTCTCTACATATCTTCCAACATTTGTTGTGCTTGTACAACAATATAAAATATAAAATTTCAGAGTCATCCTAATCTCATATTCTATTTACTTCTTGTGGAGAAATAAAATGAGCCACTCTTATCCAATGCAGAATCTCATCTTATTAAAACCATAGTTCTAAAATCTCATGCACTTAATATTCCAAAGTCTAAGAAACAATTATACAAACATGAAAAAAATGCTCTCAAGCACCAGGTCAATCATGGTCATGACTATTTCTGTCCATATAGAAAGAATAAATATTCTACAATTAATTGCAATAGAAAATAAAAATTAGAGATGTATTCTTGTCATAAATACAGAATGATTGGACATTTGTCACATGCGTGCCGTACTTTAAAATAATTTATTAAAATATTCTAAGAAAATTTTAAAAAAAAACTTCGAGATGAGACTCATGAAGTTCATACTATGGATGTATTGATGGATTCAATTGGTCTTGATGATTTAGAGGCTTATATGAATAACAAAACCTCTAATGATGAATCAAATGATGCACTCATTGATTTTGCAACAACACATATTATTATATGGGATAGATGAATTTTTATTGAAAAATCTTCAACTTAGCAAACCAAAAATTTGATGACTATGGCTAGAATGAATGCGTTTTGTTTCCAAGAGGGAATAACAATGATAAAATTGCCTGCGAGCTCTATCATAAAATGTAAACATGCAATGTTTGCACCCTTAGCACCTCAGAATCTAATCAACTACCAAGATGTGAGTGCCAATGGTTATCACCTCTCAATTGCAATTTTAAATAGGTGAGAGATTTTGGTTCTTGAATAGAACCATAAAGTTCTAAAAAAAGCCTTTGCTCCAACAAATGGTTTATATTGGCTTACAATCTGGCCTCTTATTATATTTAATTTTGCATCATCTATAACAAAAAATCACATCTTTCTTTGACATGGACGATTGAGACATCCAAGATCTATATTATTTCAAAAAATAATTCCATGTATAATTAGGTATAATTTAAGACTTACAGATGCAGATTCTATGGAATTGTATCATACATATATGCAAGGCAAGTTGATTGCTTGGCTATCAATTTAGAGACCCCCACAAGAACTACCACTAATACTTGAAAGATGCATAGTGATATTTGTGGTCATATTAATCCAATATTTAGACTATTTCATTATTTTTTGGTCTTTATTGATGCATGAGGCAAACAATCACATGTATCATTATTAACATTTCAAAACATGGTATTTTCTAATCTTATATCTATACTTTTTTTTTTAGCACATTTTCTTGATTATCCTATCAAAACATTACGTATGGATAATACAAAAGAATTTGCATCAAAGTCCTTTGAAGACTATTGTACTGTAAGAAGGACTAAGTTGACATATTGTGTTTTATATGAACATGCTCAAAATAGACTTATAGAGTCATTTATAAAGTGTATATAAGTCATTACCCGGTTACTCCTTCTTCATACAAATTTATGTGCATCTATGTAGGATCATGGAGTTTTACATGCTACAACATTAATATGCCTCTGTCTTTCTTCTCTTAAAGTTATTACACCACAAGAGCTCATTTCAAGTCATGTTCCAAATATATCTCATCTATAGATATTTGGTTGCCATACTTGGATTCTAATACCATAACCTCAACAGCATATTATTAGAGTTCATCAAAAAGAAGGCATATATGTTGGTTTTGATTCATCAAGTATTATTTGTATAGTTGATCCATCAACTAGCACATTATTATGTGTACGTTTCAAAATTATCGTTTTGAAAAGAACTTATTTCCATTTCTTCTAGGAGGAGTATTTAATCAATAAAGAAATACAATACTTGCATTTGGAGCACAATAAACATTTATAATGAATCCTGATTCTAAAACATCTTTGGCTGAAAGTGAAGATGCAAAGATTTTGTATCTAAAACATATTATAAATGAAACACCTGATGGCTTCAATGATGCAACTTGAATTACAAGAGTTCTAATTAATGAGGCTCAAAATGAACCTACTCAAATTGTAATACCATTAACAAATATACCTCAAGTTAAAACATCAGCAATTAAAAGGACTTATAGACTAAATAAGCAACCACGCAAGAAGAAAGCTGTAACATGCAGTGATTCTGGTATTGTTTCTATGGAAGTTCTTACTAAACCTAGGGGACTATTAATTAATGACAATATGTCTATGCACATTATACCTTCACTTCATGCTATAGAAAATTTTGAAATTAAGAAGTTGAATACATAATTATATATGGAATATCAAGTTGAATACATAATTATATATAGAATATCAAGTTGAATACATAATTATCTATTCTATATTAAGCTATAAATGACCTTTGAAATAGACCATCTAAAAAACCACAAAAGAAAAGGCTATAATATGTGGTGATTTTGATATTATTGTTATAAAAGTTCCTACTAAACCTATGGGACCATTAATTAATGATGATATGTCCATGCAAATTATACCTTCACCTCATGCAATAGAAAATCTTAAAATAAAGAGGAACAAAATCAAATTAAGTATACAATTATCTATTCTATATTATGCTATAAATGACATTTGAAATAAATCATCTATTATAATAAATGAATCATTTGCATTCATGATGGCAGAAGCTCTTTTTTACAAGAAAGAGGATCTTGAACCTCAAATCATTCAAGAAGTGATGTGTTGCTCTGATTAATTAAAATGAAAAACTGCCATCAAGGAAGAGTATGCTTCTTTGCGTAAGAAGAAAGTCTTTGGTCCAATTGTGGACACTCTTATTTCTTGCCCTATGGAATATAAGATAGTATTAATATATAAGTGAGATGCTAAAGGTCAAGTATCCCGTTATAAAGCTTCTCTTGTTATTCAAGGATTTATCCAACGATCTTGCATTGATAATGAATCTACATATTTTCTAGTCATGGATTCAATTACATTCCAATATATTATTTGAATGGTAGTTCATACTGCCCTTGAGATGCATCTCATGGATGTGGTAACTACATATTTGTATGGTTCACTTGATGTAGATATTTATATAAAAGTTCTACCTCATTTGGAAACAAGAACTCCAAATGCACCTACTCCAAGACGATATCATGATATTAAATTACACAAGGCCATGTATGATCTAAAATAATCTGGACGCATGTGGTATCAATGTCTCCAAGATTATTTAATTATAAATAAATTTGTAAGTGATCTATTAATCCTTTGTTTATTTATAAAATAAGATGAAATTGGTTTTATGATCATTGTTGTATATGTTGATGATCTTAAGCTAGTAGGTACTAGATCTGCATGCATTGCAACTACTAACATATTTATACATGAATTTGAGATAAAAATGCTAGGAAAAATAATTTTTTGTATTGGACTTCAAATTATGCATCTCATAGATGGTAGCATTTTTTTCTATCAACTAACATATATTAGACAAATCTTATGAAGATTTAATATGATTGATGCTTATCTATTATCCACACCAATGGTTAGATGTGATCGTGATGGTCATAATCCATACTGTTCGTACAAAGACAAAGAGGAAATAATATGAAAACAATATCCATACCTTGTAGCGATTGGAGTACTTTTATATTTAACCACATCTATCAAATTAGATATTGTATTTGCAATTAGTATTCTTACAAGATATAATACACATCCAACACTACAAAATTGGAATGGCATCAAATATTTACTACATAATTTTAAAGGCACTAAAGATTTGGAATTATATTACATACAATCTACAGATCCAAAATTGGTTGGATATTCTAATGCAAGATATAAATCTGATATTGCAATAGCTAAATCTCAAACAGGCTATGTATTCTTAAGACATGGAGCTACAATATCATAGAAATCAATAAAATAAACTATAATTGCAACTTCATCCAATCATGCAAAAATTATTGCCTTACATGAAGTATCTTCAGAATGTATTTAATTGCCATCAATTGATAAACTTATTCAAACATGTTGATTTTCATATGATGATTCTCTAACTATCTTGTATGAAGATAATAGTGCTTATGTTGCACAGATATAAATTGGTTTCATTAAAGGGGAGAGGACAAAGCATATTGATCCAAAGTATTTTAGTTATATCCATGACTTCATTACTAATTAAGTACTTAAGATCAAGAAGATTGAATCTGCAAATTACCTTGTTAATCGCTTTACCAAAGCTCTCCTTTTGTACAACCATCGCTAACTTACTTATGGAATTGGCATGCGGAGACTTGCTTTTCTAGAGCAAGAAAGTTAATGAACTCTTGAGATAATGTTGTATTCTTTTTCCTTCATCTATGGTTTTGTCCTTAAATATAATAAGGTTTTCTTAGATAAGGTTTTAATGAAATAGCAATTGTTGATATTATGAGATTACAAAAAAGTATAGATCATAATTCTATTCATATAAATATTATGACAAGCGAGGATGAGTGTTGGAAGCATTAAATGTAGCTGGCGCTTTCCATGCTATTCACTATAGTCTATAATATTTATTGTAGCTACATTGTTTGGAATGTAGTGGAAAGACATTGTTTATTTTCTCTCCTTCTCTTTGTATAAAGAATATAATCCTATCAATAAACTTATTTCTTGTGTGTGTGTTTACATATGTGTACATATTACTTCTAGTTACTATTGTGGCTCTTTCTCTAAAACATTCTTAACAATATAGACATTTCTTAAACATATTCGATGTAGGCAGTGGAGAGCTTGTCGTTGCCAATGCATCATTATATGCAGATGGATCCCGAGGTAAAGAAGATATTTCAATAATCAGTATTAGCACCTAATCTATTTATCCAATACAACTTCCAAATTCAAACTTGAGAGAAACTTCCAGAGAACTCACAGAAACAGAAAAACACTATCACCTCTAAAATCATTTGTTTCCCAGAATACATCTGTGCGAAACAATCCGAAATACGTTATAACTTGACTGAAACAGGTTTAGTTGAATCCGAAAGAAGTGTTTTCATATACAAACCAACCCTAAACATCATTAATACGTTACAAAAATTTCAAAGAATGTAAAAGAGCTGGGCCAAGACAAACATAATTAGAACCTCACAAGTAAGTCAAACACTAATTTTTCATATCCATTTGTCGATCTGTTGAAGGTCCCTCCTCAGCACTAGGAGACCTTGTAAACAAAATAGGAGGAAGTTCCGCCAATACCGCCTTCATCATCGTAGACATTTTGTTGTTAATCAATGCGTCCTTGTATGACCTTAGAATTGCAGAGAGCTTGCACTAGCCCAAACACAGCGATCAGTAATAAACTTTATCTAGAATCATAATGCATACCTTAATTACCGACATCAACAAGAAAAGCCTCAACCTTGTAAATTAGATCAAAATCATCAACTTATAATCGAAAAAACAAAAGCAAAGCACAGAGTGTACATCATTCTTTGCATAGAGCAGAGGAGGACGACCGTCTTGATAAATTCAGCAGCCTGACTCAAGTAGAGATTAATAGGCATCACGTTCTTGAATCAAGAACTCAATGTGGAAGAGCCTATTCATAATTGAGGTTATATATGCGTATATATATACATATATATATATAGATCCACATTTTTTAATATTGGACTGCATCACAATATTCAGTACCTGTTCAATGCGACAAGTTTCGTCCCCACTCTGAAATTCAGCAATGAATGAACTGGAATGTATCCCCACGTATTTGGCTAATTTCAGAAAAAGAGAGCAACATACATTGATACTTAAAGGAGGCGCAAAGACCCTCTGAGAAAATGCTGAAGAATGCTCCTGGAGACGAACGATTACGGGAAGGGAAATAGATTGAAAAAGCTAACTATTCTTGCTAAATAGAACAGTAATTCGCGCATTGCGAATCATCTTCTTTATAACACATCCTTTGCGCAAAACCATAGAATCGTAGACATCGTCAATGAAAGTGTCGAAGGTCCGTCTTCAAAAAGTTTATATTGTTAGTAGATTTATAAAATTTATGGCAGATACCACATTTTAACTGTGAAACTTGCTTCAACAAATCCCATCGAACAGGTAAATACCTGAAAATATTGAATGCTGATGTTAATCGCAGATTCATTACAGCTTTTGTACTAACTGATAAGAGGAACTGCAACTACAAATTTAAGTACATTTCAGCTGATTTGCAATTGATGAAGCACACATCATCACTTCTTGGCAAGGGGCCAACGTACGAAATGTCACAAACGTTTCCCGACAATAGGTTATCGACTGATTATGCTTAAACCATAATAGCAAATACTCCTTTTCATTAGAAACTGCATTAAAAAGACTTCAAATCTTCCCGAAATGTCTTCATGCCATTAAAACAACGCATGGGAGTGCCAAAATAGGCTATCGGCTACCGCCTCACACCATCGAATACTTGCATTATGTGCATCAAGAGGTACTGAATTCAATACTCACCAGGAATTGATGCAAATTCGTCAATATCTAAAGTACCTCAACAATCTCCAGCTGCTAGAAGCTGCGAAACAAGATGTCTCGGTTCTCAGAGTATTCCTGTTACTAGGTGTGATCCCAAGAGAAAACCAGTAGTTGTCTAACCACTGTAAAAGGGACTTCCCTCCACCTGCTTTGCCACCGGATGGAAGAGTCTCAATCGAAAACCCTCAAATGCTAAGCGCTCGAGTTTTCATTATAACGAAATTTTTGCAGAGCATTCTTATCAAAAAAATGACCTACAAGATAGTCTGGATGATAATTGAAGACTCGAGCTCTAAGTCAACATCGTAAGTAAAGTACTGGAAGAGCAAGAGACGTTCACAAAGTTACCATACCAATCGTGAAGCGGATATAGCTTGATTGACACAATTAGATGTTTCAATTTCTGGTTCTATTCCAGCATATTAATTCTGAGTATTTCTAAGCTATGCAGATATCTTCCAGACTCCACAATGTCGCTATTCAGCAAGCGTACTGTTCCCTGTATCTCTCCAACCTGGTCAAATGCACATGCAATTCTTGTGTTGAGATTTTCCAGCTGGTCCAAAGCCTCAAAAAAAGAACCTTACCGAGCTGAAATTCCTTTGAGCAAATTGACCTCCACAAGCTCCAAGAAGTGAGACAATTTCTTCTGCAGCATCATGTTCTGTGGAAGCGCTGAAAATATGCATGTTGCTTGAAACGTAGACTCTCTCTCTAGAGCAAAAGCTTAAGGAACATACAGAAAAGGAATCTCACACAGAAAAGCCTGCAGGCCTTCCACCTGCAATCTAGTCTCTCCATTCCTATTTGATGCCAATGTAGGTGCCTGAACAATTTGTTTCCGACTTTTATGTCGGTGGACCTTCGAAAATCTGCTCACAAAATCCAGGTAGGTTTAAAAATTAGCTTTGGTGATCTCGGGGAGCACTCCCGGTGTTAATGGAGCAGAGAGAGGTTCCGCATTCGGGTCTCCAGATGAAGTTAACAAACACGTCTCCCATGAAACGTCTTATTCATGAATTTCCGATTTCCCGAGACGTGGATTGATCCGCACAGGTGCCATGCAATAACCATGTTGATAAACGTCGGCAGCAGTCATATTGTCTCCAGAAGAAGACGCCGTTCGCAACAAATGATGATTCAATAAATTACCACCTGCGACTCGAGTATTTTCCAAATGCTTCTGTGAGCTCTCTTGCGAAGGTCTGGTCGTGGAGAGGAGCGTTTCCATCCTTCCAATCGACCAAGTGACGAAGAACCGCTCAAGTTCCGGTGTGGATCTTACAACACTCAACCTTCCTTCACCCGCTCGAACAATGTGATACTGAACCAACCGTAGCAAACGCTAAACCATTCGAAATTCTCATTTCCCTCCGATCTATTTGTTGCCCCTGCGGTGGTCAGATGTGGAGGCTCCCGCCGGTTCCAGAGCATCGAAACAATTCAGGATGCAGTGAAACTGAGATTTGCGAGACGCCATAGCTGGTCTATGGCTTTGCCAATTGCAATCTCCATCACCGCTGACATCGAACGGAGACGAAGACGAGGAAGGGAACGAGACTTCTGAACGACGTTCCCATCATGAGGAACTGTCTTTCGTTCGTCCGTCAGTCCTACTTTTGACTTTATCGTTGTCCTGGGACCATTATTAACTGTGACGGCTTCGGTCTAAATAGGGCAGTTTTAGCCACAATTCAAATCTATTCGAATATGTTCTGTAATTATTATAAAATTAAAATCAAATTAAAACTCAAGGTACAATAATTCTTTAATTCATTGAAATATTAAATTTAGCAAACTTATATATAAATATATATATATAAACCATATATAATATATAATTATATTTATATGTATAAACATACACAGTTATATCATTTTGGTGGATATTCAAAACGGTAATTGTTTGAAGCTCAAAACGTGAGAAAATTTTATAAAGTCAACACACAGGACCTTCATCTTTTTGAAGTTCTATTTCCATGACCACGTGTTCTATTCAGATTATATGATCATGAACTGGAATTCCTTGAAGAGTAAGTAAAACATGAGTATGCTCTGCAATCTACAGATGTACTTTGGAATCTATTTATCTTAACTGTGATTGCATGGATCAAATTGAATGAGTGGTGTTTATTTGAAATCGTACCTTTGAAAACGGAAAGCTACATATAATCCAGCACATTTTGATTATTGTATAGGTTTACATTGCCTCCAAAATATCAAATATTTATGTAATAGTTTTTTAAATACCCACAAATTACAAAGTAAGAAGTAAAGTATAATTATTAGGATGGTGTGAATTATTTTCAAGTTTGTTTTTGACACTTGGCGTGCTGAAATTGTGATAAATATGACTATTATCATACTTTTTGTAGCATATTTTGTCTCATTAATTTTAAAAATGGCATATACTATTTTTAGTTTGTTATATTTACTTGGTTAATTTTTCGTTTTCATTGCTCTTATTCTTCCAAATATGTATTGTGTTTTGCACTGCTTCACAATTTTTTTAGAGTAAGTAAAATGTTTTCACAAACCTTTATTCTTAACTGGATTAACAAGTAAGCTTTTAAAAACAATTGTGTGGCTTCATCTGCAATTGAGTACAAGTTCAAAAAGAAATTGTCTTAAAACCGAGCAGAGATTCATTTTAAATTGAAACAATTGGAAACACAAGAAACATTTTCAATTTCAAGTGATATTCCACAATGTTTTGTGCCATTTCCAATTAGTATTCAACTGTTTCTTTTAAATATGACCTCCTTTTCAAAGGGCATTAGTTTCCTAAACCCTAAACCCCTCTCATAGTTGTTTTAATCTGCAATAAAAAAATACAAATTTTACAATAGTCAATTAAAAAATTCTTTTCATATATATAAAATAACCAAAAAATTTAATCATTACACTCAGATGAGAACTAGAAAAACATAAAACATTATAAGAAATAGATATAATTAATTAATTAAGTCCAATTATTGATTTGTTTCCACTTAGGGCAGTGGGTTCGTAGGTCTTAAGCTAGAACTGCACGTGGACCTTACAATCGCCGCACGCCCGCCATCTGTGGCACAGTCAGTGTGAACGGGGACATCAAGCTATTTGAAGTGTCAGCTCCGCAGTTTTGGGATCTGGTCCGAGGTCCCCAGGCAGGGAGGGTGGGGGGGGTCTTAACACTTGGCCCTCCCAAGTTAGGGTTCCTCCTCATGCGACACACACACTCTCTTCTTTTGTTCATGGTCCTCTTCGTCCTCGTCCCACCCCCCCCCCCCTTCACACTCATTTCTCCCGCATTTTGTCCTGTTTTTTTCTGAACTAGTTACAAAGCTGCTATTGAGCAGGACCTTTCCCTCTGCAAAATTTCATTGATAATTGTGCGTTTAGCTGTCAGATTGTTTGTTTGTTTGTTTATTTCTGTTTTTTTGTTTTTTGTTTTTGCCATTTTAGAAGACGGCTTTGCTTCCTCCACGAGCCCATGAGGGCGGAGGCGCGTGATGGAATTGCGAGAAGGTGATTTCTCCTTTATATATATACTCAGTTTTTAGTCTAGATTATGATACACGGTTCGGGTTGGACGAGTTGCGGGGACGGGGTGGGGCGACATCAGTTCATTTTAGCGGGTGTCTGAAATAGCAGGAGTTTCTGTTGTGTATTTCTTTTTCTTAGGTCGTTCAGCTGTGTGGCAATCATTTCTTTGGTTGTGTTTAGAAGCTGTTTGGCTGGGAGGTCACATTCACTATTCCTTTTTATTTTATTTTATTTTATTTTTTTAATCATCAATAGCACTCATTTTAAGTGCGCAAGGAAAATTGGAGGCGTCATGCCTAGAATTTGGCATCGAGATGGTGGTTGTTCTTCTATCGATAGCCGTCTTGTATCAGTCACTACTTATGGCACAATTCTAGCTTCCGTTTTCCTGTTCTCCTACAATTCTTGGACCAGCGGCCAACAGGTCTGGACTGAAATAAAAAGTGCTCGTAGTTGTTCTGTAGGTCTATTGATCTCGTGAATGATGATTCCTAAAACCCTCATATATGTACCTTGTACTTGCAGCTCAATGTTTAATTTTCAGTGCTTCTCACTGTGCAAGAAGTTCTGATGCAACGTCTGTGAATAATATCATTCTAGCGAGCGTTCTTTCAGTGGAGCCTTTCTCAAGACACTAAGGTGCACGTCGTAGGGATTGGGTATCTGTCCAGCGAGCTGATGTGAGACATTCTTTCTAAAGCAGGTGCAGTTCGTAATGCAGCTTAAAAGTAGCACATTTTCTTGCTTGTCAGAATGTTGTTCAATTTTTGAATTTCTGCTTTCTAGAGGAGATTCATAAGATGGTTTTACACGTATTGCCTTTTGTGGTAATCCTTTTTTTGCTCATAACTCAGGTTTACAGAACACCGTAGGCTCTGTCCTAGCAATAGGATCGGGATGTTCCTCTCAAAATTTTATTTTGAATTACTTTTGTTGGTTCTCTCGAAATACTAATTGGTTAAGTAACGTCCTGTTTACAATTAAATGCAGCGAGCTGTGAAATCCTCAACAGTTAGGTGATTCTGGAACGTTCAACTTAGAGGCCGGTGAACCCTATTTATCTATTGAGTAAACGAAAAGTATCTTATTTTAGTGTATATCATCTTCGTACGTTTTTAGCTGACATTCGTGAGGATATTGTCAGGAACTGGGTCTCAAATGTCATCCTCGATACGGGAGAGCTTTTCTTCCGGCAACGTGGTATTTGGAGGACTCGCTGGTGCAAATTCCGAGGGACTTGCAAATGAAGAGTTTGGCAGTCCTGAAGCCATTTCTCCTAGTAGAGATGGCACAAAGCTTCTTCGCACCGGTCTCCAACCGTTTAGCGTAAGTTCTGCACGAGCGATAGAGGGGTTCGACATACGATCACGACCTTGGCTTGAAGAGGTTAGCCTTCATCGTCGTATCTCCTTGTGTTTTGGTAGTCTTGTCGCTGTGGCACAGTAATCTTGTTCCAAAAGTTCGTAGTATAAGTTATGACTGCAAGTAATTTTCGATGGGACTCATAAGTTGATGAATTGTCAAGGCGAATCAAAGACCAGAAGCGGTGATCTCGATCTGGATAGAGGGGAGCGCGGTGGAGAAGTGGAAGTGAAAGTAGGCGCTGTGTCTCCGCCAGTCGAAGATGGTGATTTTGAGTCTCCTCCCACCACACCGAGGTCAACTACCAGTTGTAGTCCTTTTTTGGAGTGTCCAAGTACTCCTCTTCTCAAGTAAGTTTTTACAATTTGCACAAGTTGAGTTATTTACGCGTTTTTATTAATCAAAATTCGGGATTTCTGGAATTATAGCATTTAGGGTGATTCCTTTTGGAATACAGAGCGATAATGTTTGATATCGTCCTCAAGCATATACTCGTATTCAAGTTGTATAATACAGCTACTCAAGGTTGCTTCTGTTGTATGTGCCGTAACACACAATGTACAGGAGGAAACAGCTCTCTAGGCAGCAGAGTCTTAGGGACACCAAGTTGCTTCTGACTACACATCTTAAGAGAACGGCCAGCATATTTATGTTTGACAAGCACTTCGAATACCTTCGGGAAATTGGGCGCGGATCATTCAGCACGGTTGGTGGATTTTTGATATCCTCTATTTCATTTGATTTCAACTACGTGAGCGTAGGGATATGTTTACGTATTGTACAAGAATATGTCAGATTGTATGCCCTCAAATATTGATCTTTTGATCGAGAGGTATTAAACTTCTTGATATTGGTATGACGTACTGCTCTGTAGTACGCCGGACGTAGCGTTCAGCTCTGACGCCACTTGTAGACGAGTCCCTCATTCGTATGTCATCGCCATTTATTGCAATTTCCATATTCATCCTGCATGCTCACATCTACGATGTTTGGTATGTGTGACTAATCCACCGAGTCACTAAGCACGTTATTTGGATCATCATTGGAGGTCATTGGGATTGATTGATATGTGGATTTCAGGTTTATGAAGCTCGAGATAGGAAAGGTGGCGCACTGTGTGCAGTAAAAATGAGCAAAAGGGAATTTTTTAGTCGTGTGGATCGAGATCGATACATGCGTGAGATTCAGAGTGTTTCGTGCCTCCCTGAACATCCGAATGTAGTGAATTATTTCAGAGGTTGGCAGCAAGATTCCCACTTCTATATACAGATGGAGCTTTGTGAGGCAGGCAATCTTCGCATGCTCCTTGACGCGTTGAAAGAGCCTTTGGATGAACATCAGGTATGGCTGTTCCCTATGTGGAGTATTTGTTCAGGGTTCTTCACTTCAGCAATTCATTGGGTCGAAATTCTGTGCAGGTGTATCAGTAGCAATTTATACAGTCGAGGCCTCCATGAGTTGTGTAGGAAGTCGAATTGTATTGATGAAATTTTCCATGCAGGTGTGGGAGTACATAGGTCAATTGGCTTCAGCTTTGAGTCACATACATAAGCATGGAGTACTTCATCTTGATATCAAGCCAGAGAATATTTTCATAGATGGCCAAGGTAAAAACTGCCTTCCTGGTACAGAGTATTGTCAGTCCTGTGGATTTTAGCGTCTTCGTATTCGCCTTCACAGGTAGTTTGTACCACTGTAGAATAATGTAAGCTCAAGCAGATTTCCTTGCATATCGTAGTCTGCAACGTCTATAGTAGATACGTCTTAACCAGGATTACTGTAGCAGCAGTTGACAGATAATGTAAATTGGAGGTCGTGTTTGACTCCGTATGTAATGCTCTCTGTGATGAGTTAGTTGTAGTTGACAGAACCAGGATACATCTGCATGCATCTGTGAGATAGCTTTGCTGTCAGAATCGTTCAGGGTCGATTTCTATTTAGTTACAGAGCATACATTAGCATTTGGACGTTCATTTTGGTTATAAAGGTCGATCCATTGGTTGCTTATTAAGGTCGCTCTGGCATATTTTGACATGTAAATGCACAGAATACCGTTGGACTGACTACCTTCCTTTATTGCTTGTAGGAAACTTGAAATTAGGCGATTTTGGCTTAGCAGTACCATGCAATATGTGGGATTGGGAAGAAGGCGACGGGGGATACTTAGCACCTGAGCTACTTCAAGAAGAAGAGCCCAGTCCGATGGCTGATATTTACAGCTTTGGTGCCATGGTTTACGAGTGGGTTACAGGTTTACAGCTACCTCGATCTAGACCTGCTTGGGAAGATATCACTAGGATGCCATCCTGGCGGTCTGAAGCTCTTTGCAAATTGGTGCGAGCAATGTTGAATCCGGATCCTTTGAAGCGACCAAGTGCGGAGCAGATTATTTCATATCGAAAAAATCAACCTGCTGTTTAGAAAAATATTTGGAACCAGTGCATTGTTTGTGGGTGTAAATATTATTAGTAGAATTGCAGTTATGAACGGTGGGTAGGAATACTTGTAGTTGCCACTGATAGCTGCAGCTGTTAAGTATCCCAATAAATTAAATCGGCAGTACACTACCTTTTGACTACTGGCAACTAACTCTTATGCATTGCCGGCTTTACACTAGGGCTGAGGTTTGCAATTTACAATCTCAAAGATAGCCAATGAGATCCCAAAATTGTGCGTATCCTCAATATTTTTGTATACTGATTGGCATGACCGTGTAGACCCGAAAGGAATCGGAGTTCGACAAAATAGTTTGTCTTCGACTTGAGGAATGTTTTTCGAGCATAGATTGCATACTGGCAGCTGCCCTTCATGAAGCCCTTCGTGTGTATTCCTTGTTTTGGTTCATGGGATTGGAATGTCCTTTGAAATCACTGTGAACATGCCATTGATTTGTTGGTTCACTTGGGTTGAGTTGTACCTCTTTTACCTCAGTGCAATCAAATTACCCTTTCATCTCTATGCTAAAGCTCCTGATAATCCTTATGTTTCCATTAGATCCACACAGTCAGCAAAGATTCTCCTTGTAATAGGAGGTGAAACACACAGGGTGCGCATCACAAACCGTGAAGCTTGCAGTTTTAATTAAACCGATTAAGAAACCGATATTGCAAGCTTCTATTCTTGTTTAAAGGCTTAGAATGATCCTATATGTAATCTAATCACATTTGACAATATTACCACCTTAATATTTAACATTTAGAATAATTCTATGATCTTTTTATTATAGTATCAAAATTTATTATTGCGACATGTATTGTGGGGACTAGTAAAACTTTACAATGATTAAATAATAGCAACCTATACATGCAACACAAACCACAATCTATACTAATAACATATTTGATTTCTTAGTGACAATTATTTAATAATAATTGACATATTCAATAAACTTGTTTATTTAGTATTTAATAAACTTTACTTCCAACTTTATATCATAAAATTTAAGAATCATATTTTAAGTACTTTGGTTAGTTTGGATTAAGGTAAAGATGGTCTTTCTATACTTGTTCAAGTTCTGCAATTACAATACTTTATTATGGGCTTAATTGTTCTCAGTAGTATCTCCATTTTATAACATTTCTTGTAATGGACCTTTCTGCCTTATTTAGTATTTTTATTTTTAGCTATAGTTAAACATTGAAAATACAAAGACTTATACTTCACAATGATATTAGAATTGGCACTAATAATAAACAAAAACAACTCTTGAGATTTAATAGAACTCATTCAAATATATTAAATTTTAGTTGGATCCTATTTCTAAATTGGATATCAAAATATTTTAAAATAAAAATTGTCATGTTACCAATTTAAGACCAATCCAAACTACAAATAAAACAAAACAATCTTGCCTTGTCCTACTTCTTTTGGAACCTGGATAAAGATAATCCATAAAAATATAATGTTATGTGACTTTCTTTGACAACTATACAACATCTAACAAAAATAAAAATTGGAAGTATTTTCTCTCTGAATAATTTTATTTAAATGATTCTTATATTTAAACACGTCTAAAAAATTTGGATACAAATCATGATCTTTTCTTTCTAAGATAATTATTCTATTATTAGATTTACTTTTAGAAAACAATTAAGCCATCACTCTCTCATTATAATTTGATTTTTTAGAGAAAGAAGGCTCTACACATACCTATTTTTTATACCATTGTTAATAAACTACTTGTTTTAATTTCAGCATGGTCTAAGGAACTTATATTCCTCTAAAATAACAGCCATTTTAATTTTAATTTTTTTTTCCCCTACCCTAAACATTGGCTCTTTTGTGTTTTTATTTTATTAGATGTCCATTTAAGGTAGTTCTAAGTGTTTTATAAAATACAATCAATATTTTTATTGCACTTTAATTGATTAAGTTTTTAGAAGTCCTAAGAGTTATGTTAAAATCTGTTTATTTGGGGTCACAAAATTGTTTGTTTGGTATTACGAATTCATCTTAATAAAAAGCTGTATAGTACTCAATTCTACCAAAAAAAAATTTAAAATAACATGGTCATAGTTTATATCTATTTATTTTATATTATTGTTTTTTAAAAATATCTTTTGATATCAAATAAACCTTAATCAATGCCACAATTTTGTTATTATTGTTGTCTTTAATTATTGATTTCTACTTCAAAACCTTAAATTCATAACAATGAAGATAAAAAATTCAAGAGTTTCTTAACTACTAGGATAATGCAAAGATACTAGAAGGTTTATAATTGAGATAAAAATAAAACTCGAGAAAAGAATTAATAAGACAACATCTAGACTTTGTCTTACTTTTGTCTATACTATTTGTGTAGTTTAAAATATAGCCCAAGCATTAAATTTAATTTAAAAAAAAAATTACATTCTACGAAAATTAGAATTTTATATATGTAATATTACTTCTTCTAGAACAAGTTTAATAAAAAAATATATAATCTATCTATGTATCTATCTGTCTACATTAAAGATTGTGTCTCAAGTACATTGTCATTATGAATATTAATATTAATAAAAAAATAAAAATAAAATAACATTTAAAAAAATGATACTTATCATGACAGATTGAATCAAAAATATTTGTTATGTATTTTACGATAATTTTTGCATCTATTATAATGCATTTACAAACTTTGGTAACAGATTTTATGTCTACACATTGATATTACAATTGTGCTAACATGTTAAATGTTTTTATTTTGCATATCTTATTCTTAATCAATTATGATATTCCTCTAATTTTATATTATAACTTTAATCTTTTGATAATCTTACAATGTTAGATATTAGAAGACATGGAAATTTTATATTATATAATATACAATATCAGAAGACATGGAAATTCTCATAATGCAAAAAAGAGAGAATAAATAAAAGTCTAATAGGTGCAGCACAATAGACTAGGTCATATTTAATAGTAAGCATCATACAAAACCATTGAAACACTTTAACACTCAAAATCATGTTGATTGAGCAACATTCCAAACCCCAAAATTTAGTTAAATAAAGTGATTTTTTAAAATGACCCATGTATTTACTAAATCAACCCATCCATCATTATTGGTTGAAGATCCAACTATTTTTTCATTGGTTTTTGATCAATGCAGATCCAATAATGCAGACTTTTTTGATGGTGGTTAGAATGAGTGGGACGATTTAATAAATGCTTAGGTTAATTCAAAAATGCCCTAAATAAATTACATCACAGTATACTCTAGAACATTAAAAAAAAACAGACAATTGTAAACAAAACCAAGCGATTGATTATCCAAACGGAGGATATGATTGGTAGTTGACCCTTCATGCGATGACGTGGAACTAGGGGGAATCTACCAATGCGATCCCACTGGGCTGACAATCTGATGAACGAAAACATAGAAACATTCCGTTACCGAATCATTCATCCGCTCCAGAGCGGGGAGAGCGGCCCTGGAGGGATTGAAGGATGATGAGATGAGGAGGCGTGGTCCAGTCGATGAGCCCAGTCCGCGCACCTCGCACCCAATTCCTCGGGCCCCAAATCCTGGTCGCGCGAGAGATTGATATTGGCCACGGGCGTGTCGCGATTGAAGCTGTTACGGTAGATAGCATTCGGTAGAGAGAAAGAGAGCGATAACAGTGCGCTGTTCCGAAGCATAATTTGCAGTTGGAGCGGTGGTCATGGAGGTGGTGGCCAATCCCGCGAAGCTTCGAGCATGGCTGTCTTGTGGGGTCGCTGCCGTTGCGGAGTCCAAGCAGTTGGGTCGCTCCTCAACGACGAGAGTGGCGTCGAGGAGATTGCTGCCGGTGAGTTCCTTGATCTCGAAGCCGCTGCGGGAGCAATGGGCAGGCTCTTGGGAGACAGAGAGAGGAGGGAAGAGCAGGAGGCCACTGGCCGTGGCTGTAGCAGTCGCGGAGGGTGTCGTGGAGGAGGAGGAGAAGATGAGGGAGAAAGAGGAGGTGAAGAAGCTTTTGCGGCCTACCCCGGCTGAGGGTGCCAGGACCGTCATGGAGACTTGTAAAGAAGGGACGTTGTCAACGCTGTCCGAGGATGGATGGCCTTTGGGAACGGAAGTGAGGTTTGCCGTGGACACAGATGGAAACCCCGTTCTGCGCTTGCAACCTGGCGCGACGCATACCAAGCACATCTTGAAGGATAGCCGGTGCAGTTTGCATGTGCAGGTAAGTAGTTGGGCAGTGGTCATGAAATTAAATTACGTGAGTTATAACCAAGGAAATGAGCAAGGCGAAAAGTTGTCGATTATTTAGAATTTCGCTTAATTGCCTTCGGTAGAATAGTATTGTATGGCAATGACGATTGGTACGATGCTACGGCTTATGAGCTATATTCGACTGTCGTGAATTATTTTCGTGGCTGAGCCGGAGAATTTTATTGAGGCTCCAAATGCTGCGTCGAGTTTTCACGCAACAGTGGTCTATTTTCTTAGTATAAATAACGTTCGCTCCCGTTGTGACCTAAACTGCGCACCGCTGGGTTTCGAACTTTCCTGCTCGTAGCGTTTGCAATTCGAGTATCTCCGAGGCCAGTATTCCCTCAATGTGGAGGTTACGGAAACAAACTGTGGCTCATCATCAATCTACCTCCTGTGAGGATGTTGAGAGAATTACTTTTGGCGCTCTTATCTCAGCTATGTTGGATATCTTGCAGTTAATCAGGTCTTGGTACCAGATGATAAACCCTGGTACTATTATCTTGATTTTCTTGTGTGGAATCTTAGGGAAGTGATTTAGTTTTGCGCTCAAGCTCGTGGAATTTGTTTGTTGGGATGGGCAGTTGGAACAACCAGGCCGTCGAAAGCCCCAGTGTACATTGCAAGGTTTCATTCGCAAGATTGAAGACATTAAGCTGAAAGAGGTAAGTTGGCTTATATTGTATGCATACATTGACATGTTCGGGAATCGAATTCAAGTCTACTTTTATAGTCATAGTTTGAGTTATTGCATGTATTGGATTTTAATCTGCCACCGAGTGATGCTCAAGATTTAGTTCCAAGAATCTGTGTACCCAATATATTAGAGCGGATTAGGTATTTTGTCTTTCCAACCACTGATTGGAGTATTGTGCCACACTTATTGTTCTCGAGGCCGGCTGTGAAGCACTTGTTGATGATTTTGCATCTGCCTGTACTGTAGAGGCTTGAAATTGCTTGGGAGAGACGGTTTGCCTCAGAACAACATACCGCGGGTGACGACTTATATGTTATGAATGTTGAGCAAGTACTACAATCTCCGGACATGGGTGAGGTAATGGCCAACTTACCTTTTACTGGCATAGTTGAGAGTAACTGAACTTTGGTCAGATCGCTGATGAAACATGCCACACGCTCTAGCAACTGAAGCCCACGCGGCTTTGTGAATTACGGTTTTCAGGAGGAGATTTGGGTTTCCGGACCAGATTACTGGGCTGCTGCAGCTGATCCATTGAGGGAGGTTGCTAAGCGCATTGTGGAAGACATGAATAGGAATCATTGGGAAGACATTCGTCGATTTTGCAACGTATACGCAAAGCTAGATGCCGAGGTAAATGTCTTTTAGCTTGTATCCGGATGACGTCGTAACCATCTAATCGCACCAGAGAATTAAAAGTAATTGTTTCATGGTTTAAAGGTGGTTCGAGTCTGAAGTTCCTGTTCTGCAGTTGAAGAAGCACAGTTTCCCAGAGTGTTTGATTTGGTGTTTTAGCTATCTTCTGATTGTCGATTAACATTTTGTTGAGTGGTTGTAGGCGTTGTTTTTCATGGACGTTTTGTATAATACCCGTCATACTTAAATGTTACAGACGAAGGCTGTTGAGTGATGTCAATTACCCGAGAAATATAGATCTTACAGATCCAAGATTCTGATTTTTTTTTGCAAATAATGTTGCAGCTTGAGGAGGCAAGCATGACATGGGTGGACAGGCTTGGATTCGATTTACGGGTACTCACTAAATCACCGCAGAACATTCTAGAAATCCGGATTCCATTTACACGTGAGGTTACTGATGAGAGAGATGCAAGATCATCTCTTACAATTATGGCCCAAATAGCTTGGGAGCAGGAACGAAGTGTCACTCCCTCTGAAGTTGTATTAGCCACTGTTGAGTTATAGTTTTGTTTCTCCTCCCTCGGAAATTTTGTCCTGAAAGTATGCTTTAGTTAGAGATTTGAAACTGTTCTTGCGATTTCTATCGACCGTCTCCTAAGATTAAGAACCTTCATTATCCAATATGAAAGACTTGGCAAACGTATGCCATGTAGTACTGTCAATCAACAGAGTGTTGATTTCATTCCCCGAGCAATTTCTCACTATGCAACTATGAAATGAAACGAAGTCATTGAGTATCTGGTTCATTCATATCTCGGAAGATGCGAAGGACGACGCTGGCCGGCTTCAAGTCATTATCTTGGCAGATAGTGAAAGCGAAAATTATTGACATCCCAGTCGGCTCAAGGCAAGTGATGGTTAGCATATTGGCTTGTCTTTTGTTACCTTAATGACTTGATGTGGACTTAAACGCGTATACATCGGGCAGGCAAACCAAGGAAGGCCGCTGATGGGATTCGCTACAAACCGTGCCTCATTCAAGTGCCTGTGATGGAGGCTCTAGAATGGAATTGTTTCTTAACTGAGAACGCTGGACACTTCACTGGGATCTCTGGAACCGTTGCTCTCTAGATTCATTTTAGAATGCAGAGAGCAATGATTCAAGGATGTTCTGATCTTGCATTATGGTTTCTCCTTCGATACTTTCTGAAATACAACCCATTACCTTCCAATCTTCTCTTTATTTCCTTTCATCTGAAGCCGCCGAATCAAAATATACCTTCGTAATGGACTTTGTCTGCCTTCTATAGATTAATGCCTTACAATGCATCAGAGAGAAGCGTAAACCTGCCTATAATCCGGATTTTTGTTGTCTCAGTTTTTTAAATAGCGTTTTCGAATGCTGTACCTCTCGTACTATTAGTCCCCTCTTATGGAGACTTGTCTCCGGCAATTTCCTGTGTACCTTTCTCTGTGATTCTCTCATTGAGTTTGTATCACACATGAAAATGGCTTAAAATAGTGGAATGAGGATTTTGGAAGAGAATGTGTAACAATATATTTTGATAAACGTCAGTAGTGGAGCAATAGTTAAAGTGTTGTTGATGTCTTTTATTGGTCCTTTGAATTCAGAGCACCCATTAACGGCAACTTTCAGTTTCTTTTATTACTTTATTTTCTATATATGCAAAAATTGTCTCAAAACAAGGGAATGGTACCTAGAGAGGGTAACTTCAAGCAATGTGCTTGCTTTGAAGACCCACTCTTCAAGTTTTTAGTTAATATTCTTCAAAATGTATGCTTCATCTTTTTTCCATCTCTAAAGGATATTTTTTTTGATGGTTTCTACGTGTTGGCTCTCTTTCATTTTTTTTTTTATTTTGTTTTTTGATGGTTTCTGCGTTTTGGGTCTCTGTCATTTGTTTTTATTTTGTTGTTTGTTGTGCTAAGTTTGTATATTTAAACACCCTTTAATATAAGGGATCAAAATAACACAATGATTAGTAGATTTTTTTAAACATATATAAGAATCAATTGTGAATATTAAAACACAAAAATGATATGAAGAGTATTTGGAAAAAGAAACATATATAAGCTAATGAAGAAATAGTAGATGCATATAATTTTAATGCCATAAAATTATTTAACAATGTGATCTACATGTGATCAATGATATTTTATTAAATGCTCTAAACATAATAAATAAGCAATTGTTTTTAGTCCATCTGGTTTTGTCAATACAAACAACAAATGTTGTACCAAAAATATATTGCATTGCAAATTAATATAGTTCATTTCAGTTATTTTTATTTTTTTAAAAGATTGTTGTTTTGCTCATGATTTCATAAGTTTTGTGAACATCAAAGGTAATAGATTAATCTTTATGTTTAAAATTAGCATTCTAGGATTGAGTATTATGGTTGGATTTTTCAAAGTTAAAAAATATAAAGTATTTATAATTTATAATACTCTAATTTATCACTTTTATTTTTTCTTAATTGTAGCTTTTCTTGGTTGTGATAATATTGCTCTTGTATTAGCATTGCAAATTGATACCAATAAATATTTAACATTAGATAATATTGGATGTATTGTCATAGATATACCTATTTATACTAATAATTACTTAGATAATATGAATAGATGAAAATAGGTAAAAGTAGGTTAATTTGATAATATCTTATAGAAAAACTTCCTAAAAACTTCATAGACACAGTTTTACCTTTAGACATGTCTATAGGTGATTGATAGGTTAGATAATTGGTCAACAAATTAGCTACATGTTGTGCATGTTGGTACCTTGCAGTGCAAGCTAACCACATGGTACATGTATAAGAAACTTGCCTTGTAAGTTAAAACATGTGTCTTACAACTTGGACATGTATGAGAGGTCCTATAAAACGTGCCATGTAGCTCCTAGGTATTTACTATATATATATATATGCAAAGAGTGAAGCCTTCTTCACTTTTGTTATTTTCTTTCTTACTTCTAATCTAATTTCAAGGGTTTCTAATTTTCTTATCGTTTGGCAATAGCCATTCCAATTTCTTTCTTAATATATATATACATTTTATTAATTCTATTTTATCATCTTTCTTTGAAAAATTTTTTTGTTTACTTGCATTTATTGAGTTCTTGTCCTTGACATGTAGCTATGCAAGAGTTAGTTGATTTTAGAAGTATTATATCTTTGATAAATGTACATAAAACTAAATGCCTTAAGTTGGAGTAGATTTAGCTATAGTAGTGTGAATTAATAAAATCTATTAAAAATAAAATGAATACTCATGTTATCATCATAAATCACAAATTAGATCTACCATAACAAGTCAATATTTTATAAGAGAAACCAAGATCTTATACAAAATAATTCTTAAAAGATACCCAACAAGTATGTTGATGGAATTGAGGAGGAGGTATTGCATATAATTATTATTCTTAAAAAACATCTTGAGGTGAATATGATTTCTAATAAAAAGATATTTGAAAGTCTACTTAAATAACTAAATTTTTGATGGTCTCAATCACAATTTGACTCACTTCTTAAAAGATATAATTTACTTTGATTAGATTAGGAAATTGACTCTTGCATCATTGTGGTACATAAATGGGTTTGCATCAATAAAAGGTGGTATCACTTAATTGTGATAAATTGGTGCTCCTTCCTAAGTATATTGCAGACGTTATGATGAGCGAATTGTTTTGCTTGAAATAATTAGAAGAAAGCACAAGTAGAATCTTCTTATTTTCGTCTTATCAATATCGAAATTTGTTGCTACTTAAACATTGCGACTGAAGGGGCCTTTACAAACACACCGATTTCCTCTAGTGAAGAAGAAAATTATCCAACTTCTGGAACAACAGTAAGATTTTCGACATACAAAACCACTCTGATAGGAAGTAAGGTCCCTTATTTACAGTACGACATAAATGCAATCATTAAGTAATGTAGCCATCTAAAGATAATGTAGACCTGTCTTTCTTTTTTTGACTCATTAAATCTGATTAATAAGAATGCTCGTTCAGAATAATGGTAGAATTGTTCCAATAGATAGTCATGCAACTTTATATTATGATAGCAGACATAATAGTGAACAGTTCGAGTAATACGTACATATTCATGTATATTTGGTCAATTAACTTCGTAGTTTATCACGACTAGGTAGTGCAACCTAAGACACACCCAAGTAACTTCAACCCTAAGGAATGTACTCTCGACACAGCAGAAACGTAACTGGTTGGATAGAGCTTAAAGAAACGGGAAGGTTTGAAGTCAGTTCGTCAAGAAGAAGAGCAGACCTCCAAATAGACTGGCAAAGAAGTAGCTAAGCGTAGAGGATGCAGAACAGTTCGTGATGAGAGACTTCGAGTATCCTTCATGAAAACATCTCCTGGCGTGTTTAGTCCACGTAAGAGCATTAAGAAGAAAGAAATCTTCGTCCAGCCCTATTAATGCAGTTTTAGTACATTATTTTATTCCATAAACATGTCAGCTAATTCAGTGAGGGTTGAAGCAATGGTGAAGGTGAGAAGCCCAGAAATCTATGAGAAAAATCAGATGGTTTTCGCCATAGCTTATAGCCATGATACGAAAAGCCTTATTGTTACATATACGTGAAACAAAACAACTTACTTGGACTGAGAAGCGAGCTGGTGATAACAAGAAGCCACAAGCAGATTTCAAAAACCTTTCCAGAAGCACCAACATTGCCGGATGAGCCGAGCAGACATGTGATGAAAACGATGCAGGAAAATGACACCCAAAGGACTGAGGGAAATTTTGAAGTATATCGCAGGAGCCAGGAGGAAGAGCAGAGCAGAATAATGTCGTGCCATGCCGTTTCAGGCAACCACACCTCACAAAACACCAACAAATGGCAGCCTCGGTAAGTTGAACATCCTTATGTCTTGACAAAGAAGGATTTTAAACACTCAATGAGTTACCACAAGTTGAACCGACACATGTTCGATCCATGGACAAAACCAATAAAACAATGAAAACCACAGAAAGCATCCAAGGTTGGAGGCAGCTGAAGCTTTGACACAAGGTAGTTCAATTGAAGCAGCCAGCAAAATCAAAGGGAGGTCCAAAGCTTTTACATGCCTAATATCGTGAGCTCATGGCAACTCAAAAATTAGTATCAAGCCCACCTCAACACACGCTCTAGGACCTGCGAGGGCGTGGAAGTGCAGACACCAGATGCAGAAAAGACTTTTTCTGACAGAACAACTCCTCGACTTCAGGGGGGCATAAATTGCAGCATAAACCTTCAGATAAATATCTTCAAGGACTTCTGCTCCTGCTCCTACGGCGGTCACGGGCTGCTATCGGACTCCTGTACATGCGATTAATTACAGAACTTTAAATATTAGAAGCATATTCTATGTTAAATCGTATAAAATATAACAATAAAAATGTTCAATTTATGAAATGGTGAAACCTCAAGAAGACAAGACCAAGTTATACATACCCATTGGCGACCGGGGATCCGCGGCGGTCACGTCTAGGTGGGGGCGATCGACTGGGGCTTCTACCTCGGCGAACCGGCGAGACACTTCTTAGGCGTGGTGAGGATTTGCTCCTTCCTCGAACCTGCGGACTGCTAAAAACAGAGAAGAAACAATAAAATCAGACGCCTGAAATAGTAGGCACGACACTGTAATGGAAACAACCATTAGAAATCCAAAACACGCTACTGGAATAGTAGGCAGAACACCTGCGGACAACCAACAATGACTGGATACTACTAAAGCATGGTCAAAAAATTGAAGCAATAATAAATCGTATACAATGATTCGGTACTTGTATCACATCGAGGTAAAACAAGTCATCGATTTACTTGAATCATCGGCTCAACGTACCTCCGGCCACCATAGCCATAGCTTGGACTGCGACGATACCGTGGGCTAGAAGAGGATGTGGAACCATTGTTCACCGTCAGATTCAGATTCAACGAAAATAAAGAGGAAAAGAAAAGAAGTAAAAAGAAAGGAAGCAAAACTAGAACATAGGAACAGCAAATGACCTTCTGTTCCTTCTGATCTATTTGTCATACAAGTAAGAAGACTGGAGATACCTTCGGCCACCATAGCTTGGGCTGCGACGATATCTTGGACTGGCGCGAGGGCTTTTACCACGGCCTCCACTACCCAGACCTCCAGCCCCTATACGAAGACGACATTCTCTTGCAAAATGGCCAGGCTCTCCACATTCGTAGCATTTCATGTCATCCCCTCCACGACCACGAGGCCCACCGCCTCCGCCTGAACTCCGAGAGAGCTCAACTCGCCAACCATTCTTACCTATGAGGTAAAATCCACACATAAACATCACGATCTGCATGAAGGAGACCCATCACCATATTTTGCAATCGCTTTATTGCTCCAAATCCATCTAGAAGGATCAATGTCCTGCGCCTGCCGGGATCCCTATATCTCTTCAGAACCTCTACCTGGCTGCACGCTTACCGTCAAGAGCCCGAATTGCATCCCGTGCATCTCGTATATCATCGAACTCCACAAAAGCAAAACCCGCCGGCTTCCGGGCTACCCATACACTGTGTCACCAGATACATACAATGTATCAAAACCATGACAAGGCAAAACGTGAACATACCATTCAAGGCACGAATGGCATCATCTGCATCTCTTCGATCTTCAAATTCGATAAAAGCAAAGCCCGGTGGTTTGCGGCCGACCCATACACTGAAATCCATAAGTCAGACACGAGTAGCTTTCAGAAGCAAATTCTTAACATACAACATGAATACTCCATCTTGTCAGTGAGTTGAACTCACAACCATCGAAGAGTGAAGCGTAATTTATATCTTATATGAATTTCATTACTTACAAGCTGAGCAATACTCCTGACATTCGACTCATCAGCATCAATTTTTGTGACGCAGACCTTAATTGATTAAATTATGTAAAAATTATCTCAATAGACCTTTCTCTGGTGTGAACTTTTATTGCAGGTTGAAAATATTAGGACAGTCTAACCCCCCCCCCCCGCTCCTCGCATACCCTGAATATAAGAGACTCATAGAACTACATAAAAGTGTGCCATCAAAAACTACAAACAAACACGCAAAGCTCCACAACTCAACTTGCAGTAAAATTCTTATACCCGACAATAACGAAAAGGAAAAAAGAAAGGAAAAGAAATGCATCACCTCCTCCCAACCAAACCCTCGTCACTAAACATAAAAATAAAAACTAGAGACCACTTCTTTGCCAAAGAAACATCACAACAAACCTGCGGAGCACGCCGTAGACACGAAATTCGTCCTCCAGTTCCCTCTCGGTTGCCCGCGGATCCAGGTTGCCGACATAAACACGCGACATGATGCGCGAATCGGCCAACAGGAATGGCCCTGCTCAACGCTACAACCAGACTTCAAAAAACTCCAAGAACGGGGCGAGAGAGGGAGGCGGGAGGAAGAGAAGAAGAAGACGGCCTCGGTGGAATGGCCGGATCCGAGACAAGAGCCCGACGGCAAACACGAGAGATTAAGTCAGAGGGAGCAGATGGTTTCCAAAGGAGCAATGCAAGTGAGTGCGGGGCCGGAAATCAAAGGGCCGACAGGAAAGCAAGCGAGCAAAAGTTCGAGAGACGAGAAAGCCAAACCCTAACCCTCCATAACAAAACACAATCTGTCTCCCTCCAATTTTACCATAAAATTGAAAGTGGGTTTGTCGAGGCTTTACCGCGGTTGTGTGAATATATTAAAGGTCCCTTTTCACACTAGAACGAGGTCCGTCTTCTCTCACGTCTTTCTTCATTATGGAGAATAAGATTTCATCCATGTTTGGATGAATGTATAAATAAGGTTGCTAATTATTTGGATTTTGGAATAATGTACAATAGAATGTCCAAAGTTTTGAATAATCTCTTTTTTAAAATTGCATATGTCAAAATTCATAATTTCTTTGAAGTGATTTCTATTAATTAAAATTTGATATCAGTATTTGTGCATTTGCAAATTAAAGTTGACCTCAAATTAAAGCATTATAAAAAAAAATTACATTTTTATTTTGATTTTAATTATTTTTAGTTCTTAATTTATAGTAAATATCTTGTATGTTAAATTTGGATGGATTTATTTGTATAAAATTAGAAATACTTCATTCTTATCAAAGAAAAAAAATTATTCTTAATCTTATACTTTTGACTCTTCTTTTTCAAATATATAAAAATCTAGTAGGATTTTAAGCTATGTCAATAAAAAAAACCAAGCTTTGCATCAATACTCAATAAAATTATGTCTATTTAAAAATAAAAATCTTCTACTGTGGCAAAGAAGTCTTTATGTTAATATTTAAAAAGATAAAATAGAAAATATTAGAAAATATCTAGAGTTGCTTTTAATGACCAAAGTGTTGACATGTTATAGGTGGATAATAATATATGGATGATTAATAGAGAAGAGACAAGTAAATGAAGAAAATGTGGTTGACTTGTATCGATATGAACTGTGTTTGATCTTTTTTACTATCTAATAAGCCATTAAAATAAGATATTACTATTTTAAATTAATGATACTTCAAAGAAAATATAATTAATACTTGAAATTCGTTTTATTATTCAAAAAAATGGTTTATTGAACAATTTTTGTCTTTTTAGAAGTAATTTTTTCTGTGGTCTATATCGCAGGTTGAAATGTGAAAGAAAATTAAAAAAAATGTTGGCTTGCAAACTAATTTGTTTTAAAGAAAATCAATGGATATGAAGATGTAGATTTGTTTTTTTAAATATACATATTTAATATATAAAAAATATATTTTTATAAAATAAACAATCATTATAGTTTTTCCTAAAATCATTGATTTTAGATGTATTCTAAGGTGAATTTAATATATATATATATATATATATATATATATATATCATTACAATTGATTTTAAATTATCATTGATCTTTAAAAATAAAAAAAAAACTAAGATAATACTTCTTAATTCATAACTACAACAAGAAAAAATAATAACAATAATGATATCACTTGCATAAGGATAAATAGAGATTGTAAAAGACTGTAAGATTAAAAAATAATATTGCTAACATAATTTTATAATAATAATATTATTAATAAATAAGGATAAAGCCTTGATAATCAATTAAAATTATAAATTACTTAATTAAAAAATGTCATAATTAAGTTGCAAATGTTTCTTGAAAAAATTATATATAAATACATGTGAGTTCATAAAATAATAATGCTTCTCAATTCTCTATATTAGAAATTTTTAGAATATGTCTACTCTTAACAACACTCTTTTAAGAGTGGTGGTATCATGGTCACAACTTCTATCCACTTACTACCAATTTCTTTTTTTAAAACTTCTTAAAACAATTTTTTAAAAAAATTTAGAAAAATAGTTATTTTTTGATATCATTTCAACATATTAAAGAGACCTTTGGAACTCTAATAGGAAATAAGATGCTTAAAGTTCAACAACATGGTAGGCCAAAGTTTCTCCTTCTAGGCATATTAATCAATATCGTAAGAAATAAATAAAACCATTTTTTGCTCTAGCACAATTCAAACATATTTCAAACAATCCAAATAGTAGTTAAGTTTGGATTGATTTGTCTTCATTAGTAAATCAAATATGCAACTCTTAAAACCATAAAAGATTGCTTTGGTGCATATTATAGAAATTAAAAGATTGAATTATGGCTAAGACAATTAAAAACTTATTTCTCAAATTCTCACAAATTTTTCTTTTGATTAGATGCTAACAAATATTGTAAATTCATTCATTTTTTGGATGAATAAATTTTGTATTGCTCTCAGAAGTTTATAATGTTTTTGAAAAATAATTTAAAAGAATTTTCAATAATTGATGCCTTAACCAAAAGAGCTATTTCTATTAGAGTTTGATTTGTGAAATTATAAAAGATAAAAAATCCACGTCAAATCTTAGATGAATATCATTTTTATTAATAATATACTTACAAGTTCTTTACCTTTTTTATACTTATAATATATGCTTATTTACAAAGAATTATATCTATTAATATAAAAATAACTATTTATGAGTTATATCTTAATTAGTATATAATATAATTATATATATATATATATAATATTTTTAATAATATAATAATTAAATATGTATAATATTAATCAACTTATTAATCTTTTTGTCTTTTTATATTTTTCTATTTTTTAAGACATCAATATTAACTTAATGAAAGTGACAACTCAAACTTTGTAGTTGGATATTATTTAAAGTAAAATACAAATAATGATGTTTGTATGCAAAATGCTTGTATACATTAATTTTATACTATTTTAACATCTTGACCATACATTTTTATTTCTTTGTGTAACATTTAATTTTTTATGTATAGCAAGCTAATACATATGTGAATTTTTAAAAATATTCTTTCTAAGATGCATATCAAATATACATTTTTTTGATACATATGCAAATAATGATATTTTAAAGGTATATTTTGATAATTATTTATTTTTTAAAATAAATATTTGTGCCAATGATTATAATGCCAATCAATTTGGTGGTGTTCTTGAGTTGAATTCACTAATTAAGATTTTTTTTAAAAAAATAAATTTAAATTATTATTATTTTTATTTTATAATAATATATTTAAAAAATTCTTTAAAACTATAAAAAGTCTTAGATTATTGAAAATTTATATATCAAATATAACTTCCAATTAAAGATGGATCAAAGTTATTGCCATAGATATATTTCTTAAAATTAATCCTACATAATTGATAAAGATATTGAAATAGGACCAAACTATCTCAAAAATCCAAGATCCTTCTAATCCACAGCAACATAAAGCCTTATTACAAAATAGGATAAAACAAATAAAAAAAAACTAAACAAAACTAAACAAAATAGGACATGAAAGACAAAACGGAGCAAATGGAAACAAAAACATATCAAAACAAAACTAAACAAAAAGATATAGAACCAAATTTTACTAAGAAAAAGGATCTGAAGCCATACTTGACAAGATGCTTTAAAAGGCCTTGACCAATCCTATTTATATCTCATCCTACCACCATGGACTTTCTAAAATATTCCTAAGTAGTTGACCTCATTTAGATAACCGCCTTAAACTCCTTTTTTAGAAGGTTCTATGGTGGACTCCATCTAGATAACCATCTTAAACTTTTTCTAGAAGGTTCCACGGTAGGTTCTATCTAGTCTATAAACCTAACCCCAATTCTAGAAACTTCCATGGTTCTAATTGTCTATACAATTATCTTTATCTATATCATATTACAGATATATTAAAAACAATCATGGTTAGATGTAATCATTGAGGCGTGAATTTTAGATTTAGAAAGCAAAGACATATTATCAAGGACATGAATTAGAAGTAATTAAAATCTTGATTCACTCTTATGTCATAAAAAAGAATAGATATTCAATCAAAAGTAGTATAATATTAGAATTAGAATGGTTATTATAAAAAATAAAAAGCCTAGAGACTCTTAAAACTAGACTAAGGACAAGAAAGGACTTGACAAGAGTGTTATTCTTGTTTCCATATATATTATCTAACTAGAAGCTATATGTCAATGTTTTGTAGGACCTTTTACACATATTTAGCTTCTACGACAAATTTCCTACATATTTGCCACATGACCAACTTTAACCACAAGTCGTTAACATGTGCAACATGTGGCTAACTTGTTGGCCAAGTTTTTAACCTATCAATCAACTACAAATGTGTATAAAGCCAAATTTTCATCTATAAAGTTTTTAAGAAGTTTTTTCATAAAATATTATTAAATCTACCTTCATTTATCTTCTACTTATTATTACTTATTTAAGTAATTATATATTTCTATGATACATTTGTAAATTAAACACACAATGCATATGTTTATCTTAAAGCAAAGCTTTAATCAATGTATTAATAGTCATTTTTTTGTTAAAAAATAATTTAATTTAAAAATTTAAAGTAATTTTTTTAATAAGATAATATTAAATGTTATCATAACTATTTGAGGATAATATTTAGAATTTTTACTTAGATAATTATATTTTTATTGTTGTAATAGACTATGTAAGAATATCACTAGAAAAATCTAAATTTAATTAATAATTCTCATAACAAAACAAATTCAATTGTATATTTAGATTCTATTGAGGATAATATAACATCTTTTTTCTTTTATCTAAAAAATAATAATAACTCAATATTAAATAATAAATATCTTTATTTTTAATCCAATCAATATTGAAAATACCATGGTAGTTATTGACTTGAGATGTATGTTGATATTTAATATCAAATTTGAATATTATTTTAATATATTATATTTTTTATTACAATAAGTAATTGTAAAACATCATACTTTTATATTAAATTTTTTAATTTTATTTTATTTATTTGGTTTCATATAAACATAAAAAATCATAATAAATTCATCATTCAATATAATTAATTTAAGAGAAAATTAAATAGATCTAGTTTTGTACTAAATCAACCTATTAATGATTAAGAATATAAGAATCATGATGAATGTGATTGATTTTTATTGGTTTTGGATCTAGTAGTGGAGAAATGAATATAGAAGTCATTTATTTTTTTTTTTAATTATTTTCGTGATGGTTAGGATGATTTTTTTTCCTAACGACCTTTGTATTTGGTTTTTTTTAAAACCTTGTTGTTGTGCAG